TGAATAATGTTATGTTATCTGCAAATATTGACATCTCATTGCTTACCTCCGTTTTCAGATCATTAATAAATATATTAACCAATATTGGTTCTAGTACAGAATTGAATGACATTCTGCTGCTAACCTTTTGTCATTATGGAATTTGACCATTCATTCCTATACTGTTTCCTGTCTCAGCCAATTTTTGATGCATGATAATACTTTACTTCTCACTTCAGACTTAGTTTCCTCACTGGCCTCTTGTGAGAGACTTTGCCAAAGGTCATTTGAAAGTCTAAATAAATTGTCAACCCCTTCTCCTTATCCACTATTTAACTGGCTCGTTCTAAGAATTATAAATGCGTAGTGAAGCAAAATAGTTATCTCCTCCCTCAGTGAAGGAAAATGATTTATAAATATTTTCAGCTTTGCTCCCCCTTGGATTAAATATTGAATATTTAATCACTGTGCTAAACTTTGTTGCAGTTAGAAATCTGGTGAACCCTTCTTTCAACTCAGGCCACTGCATTGGCCTATCAAACTGAAAGCCTGGTGGAGAGTTGAAATTTGGTATTTAATTTTCCTTTCATTTATGCTGGTTCAAAATGAGTCAACTTCTGACACTGTGCCATGTGACAATAGGAAGGACTGCTTTCTTCTAACACCCAACACAGAAGTTTTATTAGTATCAGGAAAACAGTATTTGCTTGTTATGGTGCAATCCCTAACATCATTCCCTCTCATTTTCTGCTTTAAAGGGTGGAGGTGGGGGGCTTCTGTGTGGAATCTTCCCTAATCCCTTCTGCCTGGTTTCCTGCTATAGATTTTAAAAAGCAGTGCACATAGCCTCATAAAAATCATGCCATGCTCCATCTTGATTTACTGTGGTCTGCTCAAACAGAACTTTTCATCCTGGGACCTGTTATCTCTACAGACGCTACCTTTCTCTTTTAGAAATGATGTATATATAGCAGGCGGGCCACCGTTTGGATGGTAGTTCATGGATTGGCTGGTGTATGTACACATTGCTGACACATCTCTGAAATGAGCTGTGAACTAAGCAATAACTGACTTCCGTGTAGCAGAGAAAAAACAGCGAGTTAATTAAGGAGAGAGATCAATGTTTGTAAAGCAGGCTGAAGATGAACAGTGGTGCTGGAGCTAGGGGTTCTGGGAGTGCTGCTGCACCCACTATCTTGAAGTAGTAGTAACAAACACCAAATACATGATTTCCATCATCAGCACCCCCACTATAAAAATTGCAGCACCCCTGAAGATGTATAAATGCGAAGGATGAATTATTAGAGGCACTCAGGTGGTCTGGAACAGAGTAGGCAGGCTCCCCAAGGGGCGTGAGTGGAAAGGGGCCCTAAAAAAAGCAGTCTGGGGTAGCGTCCAGAGATGGCCCTTCCAGATGTTCCACATGTTTAATGTATTGTGGACTGGAACCTGCCCCAGTGAACGCGAGCGATGGGGAAACAATCACAGGCGAGGGCTATGCGTAGCTACATTCCCCCCACTCCTTCCTTTTTCTCTGTGGCGACCAACCGCAGCAAGACGGTGCGCGCGCCTCAAACCCTCTACCCCCGCAGCTGAGCGCGAGCTGTTCCCACTGCCAGCGGCGGTTGGGCAGTTGCGATCGTTGGGACTGTCAGGCCGGGCGCGCGCGTACTCACTTGCGCCGCAGACGCTTCACTCGTAGGCGGGCGCGCGCGCGGCCGTTCATCACCCGGCGCCTGCGCGGATGGGCTCATTTCCCCCCTTCTACAGAGAGAGGAACTTATGCGCATGCGTTTTCTACCTTCCTTCTCTGTTTGCGGTGGTGCCTGCTGTTCCCTCCCCCACCTCGGGTCAGGTAGCCGCTACTGAATGACAGTAATCCAGACCGGGTGAGCTGCAGCGGCGGCCCCGAGCGCGGGAGCCCGCCTGGCGGACGGAGTGGTTCCTTCCCCGCTCCGTCTCCTTCGCAGGTAAGCCAGGGGATGCACCCCCGCCACACACACACTCACACTTCCCCGACGTGAGGGAGGCCGCTGGCCGGTGCCGCCTCTCCGGGGAATTGCGGCTGGGTATTGTCCAGCTCCTCCGCTCTCTGCAGCCCTAGAAGGAGGATAAACCGTCGCTTGGATTCCGGGCCTCAGGGTTGCCAGGCGGGGACTGGAGGCGCACGGTCCCCTCCCAGATCCGGGGAGGGTCCGGACCCCCCAATCCAGACCCTGTGCAGTCGGGACGGGGTCACTGACATCACCCTCCACCCACACCCACGCGTGTGGTCCCCCACACCCCAGAGACACGCTTGGGCGACGGGGGAGTTGGACTCCGGCCGTGGGCCGTGCTGGCATGGGGCGCGCGGTGGGTGAAACGGGGGTAGTTACGGTATAAGCCCCGCCAGGCCAGGGCAAAGCGTGCGCTGTGTGAATGGGGCTGGAACGCCCAATTCCCGCCCGTGTGTGAACAGGCCGGGGGGACCGACCATCTCCTAGGGTGGGGTGGGCGTATGGAGCGTCCCCGACTCAGCCAGCCCACCCGCCGTTTGAATGGGGCTGCGCGATGGCGAGAGGGGTATGTGAAGCGGCCTAAACCCTAGACTAGGATGGGTTGGAGAGGGTGAGACTGGCTCCCTGCTAGATGTGAATAGGGAACATGGATCAAAAGGCACGTGTTCGGAAGGTGGGCTACCGTGGCCTGCCCCCCATGCCAGACTAGAGGACCCACAGTTTGAAAGGGCCTGAGCCTTGGCCAGGTTAATGCGCCGGTGTTCCAAATCGGTCTCTGTGTGTGATCATTGGATGGGGATACACAATAGCTCAAACCGGGTGCGAGTAAGAGCGTGCATGGTTTGAATGAAGCTTTTGCTTATTGACAGCAGTATGGAATGGTCTATCTATGTTTTAAGAGAATTAGAGCTTTTGTGGTTTTAATGCATTAGTTGTGAGGTGTGGGTACAGGGTAACTAACTGAGCCCTGTTGGTGAGTTAAAGCACCCAGGGTTTGAATGGGTCTTTGTGATCATGAGATGGGGTTATGGAGCAGCTTGGGTCGCAAAACGGATTATAGCATGCACTCTTTGAATTAGGATGGGTTGAGGTGGGTTTGGAGTGCTGCACTACCATGGAGACTTTTATAAGGAAGAGGGAAAGTTTGGGTGACAGAATCCTGAAGTTCAACACTCCTGATGCCACTGGCCTGCACCTGGAAACCACTGCAGTAGAACAGAAATAGGTGTTGGGTCATAGACACTAGTCCTTTTTGGAGATGTGGCTCTGGGAGGGATGTGTAGGCTAAACAAAGAATTAGATGCAACTGTCTCAGGCAGATTAGTGACAGACAACCATTTGCTCTTAAATGCGCAGTTGGAGACTACTTCAGTTACTGTTTCACACAGACAGTCCAGTATATGCAGAGAGCTGCATTCTCAGAGGCAATTTAGCACAGCTGTTACTTTGTTTGGATGGTAGAGGGAAGGGAAAACTGTACTAATATAGACGGAAAAGAGGCAGATAAGACACTGAATTCCAATCAAAGAGAAAATAAAGTGCAAAAAACAAATATCCAGATAATAGAGAATTCATAAACTCTTGCAGTTCTCCTGTTTACTGGGTTCATTTCAAGATTGGCAGTTGCTATAGGGGACTATTTTAATGGAGCTAACTTTTTTATAAAAAAGTTAAGTTCTTTCTATCTCTAACTATCTTATCTGTCCCAGTTCTATGTTTTAATTTTTTAAATAAAATTGGCACATTTTTCAGTCCATTAATGTAAGGGATTACCGTCATACCAGTTGTAACTGTGCCTTTTTTTTTTTTTTAACTCTGCACAGTGTTGTAAACTCATAATAAGGAAACAAATGGTAAAATTAAAAAAATTCTTCTCCCTTCATGTTCTTTTGAACTTTGTTAAATATATACTACAAGCTTTAGAATCCTTAAAAATAGTAGGACTTTCATGTACACCACCATTTCAACATACACTGTACTGACTTGGACCCTGATTATATCATACAGTCTACATGCGGACCATAACTCCTATGATGTAGAGCTTCATTTACTCCTGGGGGAATTCTGCGCCAAAAAATTAAAAGTTCTGCACACAATATTTTAAAATTCTTCGTAATTTATTTGTAAAAATAATGCAATATAATCATGCCAGTTTCAATTATTTTGGTAATTTATTTAAACTACAATACAATGGCTGGAGAATGGGAGTGAGGAGCATTGGAGGAAATCTCCATGCCCCCTTTGTCTAATAGTAATGTAACTAGGTTTTACCCTTTATTTCTAGTTATTAGTCAACAAGTATATGCAGCCATAACATCAGTGTTACACCCTAGGCAACTGAAAGAGCAAGTGAGGGTTGGGGCGTCAAACTCACAATTTATATTGGCTACTGACCATCTCCAGAAAGGCCAGTAGTAAACAGTTCATGTATCACATTGATAGGAAGTTTTTTCAGCCCCAAAATTTAGATCAGTTCTAATCACTAAAGCACCATAAGCATTTATAAGGCCATACAGTTATTTACAAAAGGCTCCTTTACACTACTCTGGCAATGTAAAGGAACCTTAAAACTTGTGCACCCATTTTATACTCCTGGGGGAATTCACTAAGAACATTGGGAACAATTAAGTAAGCAGGCTGCTACATTCTGCTTTGCCCCATGCCTGCCTCCTCAGAAACACCCTGAAGCCTTGCCCCACTACGTCAGGCATGCTGCAATAGCGAGCAAGAGGGGCAGAATGTCTGTCTGTCACTGGCATGCATGCCCTGCCCCCTCAGTGGTGATTGATGTCTTCCCACGGCCGCCCTGTCCTGGCCCTCCACCCCCCTGGGGATAATTGATGTCTCTGCTGGCTGTTCCGGGTGCCAGAACTGACATGCCTGTGCTGCTGGGGAGGAGCACGTGACCACTCTTGCAGCTTCTCTTTCTGCCCCGTCAGAAGTCATTTTTCCACTGGGAAGCAAAAAAATCTGCAGGGGACATGAATTCTGTATGCGTGCAGTGGTGCAGAATTCCCCCAGGAGTATCTGTTTAAGTTAATGGGGCTCCATGCTGGTGCAAGAAGCTGTTTGTATAGATCAGATTGTAGCATCAGGGTCTAGTGGATAAATAGTAATCCCGGAGTTGGTATTTCTTGGTCTTTTTCAGAATTACTGCCCCTTGTTTTGAAGCAATTTCTATGGAAAAATGTTGCATTTATCTGAAAATTTTATTTAATAACACTATACCACTTTCTTCTGCAGGTGAATCATTTACAAATGCAAAAATGTTTGCATTTTTTAGCCCCCTACCTACCTCACTTTCTTTTCTTTGCCAGCGAAGAGAGTTAGGAACCTCTCTTTCATGTGAAGAGAACTCTGCTTTTACTTAGAAAGGACTAAGACCTTCTGTAGATCTTAACATTTGTGTCACTGGGGAGAGCTGTAAAAGACAGAGTATTTCCACTCAGAGGTTTTTGCAGTTCTAAGGTTCAAGTTTCCTTCCCAACAGGGATGAAGTCTCATTGTACACCGAGGCTAGGTCCACACTAAAAAGTTAGGTTGACCCAGCTATGTTGCTCAGGGGTGTGAAAAATCAACACTTCTGAGCGTTGTGGTTAAGCTTACAACCCCTGGTGTAGACAGTACTAGGTCAATGGAAGAATCAGAATGAGAAGAATTAGAATTCTTCTGTTGACATAGCTACTGCTTCTTGTGGAGATGGATTACCTATGCTAATAGGAGAACCACTCCCATCGGCATAGGTGGTGTCTACACTGAAGTGGTACAGTGGCACTGCAGCGCCACTGTAGTGTTACAAGTGTAGACAAACCCTCAAATACTGCAATGCTGGGTAGCATGTTGCCTGGGTAGCATGTCTGAGACAAATACCTATAGGAGAGAGATGTTGAGTAGCCACTAGGAGTTCAGTTCACATCTTCCCTAAATATCCTGTGTTAGATCTTGATTCCCGCTCTGATGCTAGATTTCAGCAAGCAGTGGTTCGGTACTTCTTTACCTAAAGAACTCCTCAATCCATTGTCTGTTCTATGTGGTGTTGCTTGCCACTCTTCCACAAGCTGGAATACTGTACATAGAGGCCCTCATAAAAGGAGAGGCTACTTTCTGGTAACTGTTGTACGAGAGTTGCCTCTGTGCATTCACACTTTCCTTCTACCTTGGGGTTCTTAACATACTATTTGGCTCCATAAGAAGGAACTGAGGTGTTTGGTGGCCATACTCTTATATATACTCAGATGTTGAATGCTGATGTCAATAGAGGGTGACCATGTAGTCCCAAAGAACACAGCTTTGCTAGGGATTCCAAGAGCTTGATGCCAATGGGTACCAACCCCCAAGTGGGAATACACAAAGAATATCAGTTGCCAGCAGGGTGGATTTGATTTAAGTCACTAGTTAGGAAGACTCGATTTAATCATGGATTTCTACATAAAAGTGCATTCTTGTTGGTTGTTATAATCTTAATACATATTCTTCACAACTCAGAGACAGAGGTAGGTTTCATTTTTAGAAGGTACACACTATACATTTTTAAAGTGATTTATTTTGAAAACTTTTCAGATTAGTTTTATAGCTATATCAGAAAATGAATGATTGTTTGGTTATTTCATTTACCAAAGATAATTGAAGCAGATATTTACGAAGTCATTGGGAGGTGAACTATCTCCAATTCAACAGTTTAATCATTAATATTTGGAGGATTTTCTTGCCATGCTGTATTAGGAGGAGAACATCACCGGACAGACATTTAAATTGTTTTATTTAACTAAAACAACAACGTTATGTATTCTGGATTTTTTTCTTCAGAAGCAAACATACAATATTTTAACAAAACAAGCATATGAATTTTGGAATGTAGTTACATTCAAGTTTTTTAAAATCAGGTTTGTTTTTGTTAAAATCGTTTTTAACTAAAATAATTGAATGAAATATTAAAAAAACCCCAAACAAATTAAATAATCTCTGCTAGCCAG